ACAAAAAAACAACCACGGGGGACGTGGGGCTGGCCCTACGTGGGAGGGCTGGCCCCATGGAGGATGAGGAGTTTGCCCCACAGGGGCATCCCACAGGGGATGAGGGGCTGACTTCACAGGGGGCCTGGAGCTGCATGAGAGGGCAGGCCCTGCGTGGGAGGGCTGGCCCCACGGGGGATGGGGGTTTACTCCTCGGGGGATGTGGGGCTGGCCCTGCGTGAGTGGGCTGGCCCTGCATGGGATGTGGGGCTGGCCTTGTGTGGGGTGCCAGGCACTGCCCAGCACTAGCCCCATGGGGGGACGGTGGCCCTGGGCACCCCTGGCAGCCCAGCTCTGGGAGCTGTGGGTCAAGGCTTCAGGACAGGGCATGGGGGGGCTAAGCTGTGGGGCCTGGGATGAATGCGAGGGGCTGGTGTGGCGTGGGGAGAGAGGAGCGCTTTCGAGGCTGGGAAGCACGTGGTGTCTGCGCGTGGGCTGCCGTCGTGGCTGGGGGCCGGGGGCTGCTGCCACAGCCCTGCCTTTGCCCCTGTGGCCTGCCGGGAGCTGGGAGACCAGAGCAGGCTCAGCGCAAGAAACTGCCACCTGCCCTGGGACTCAGCAATGGGCCGCGTGGGAATCCCGGTCTGATGCAAATAACGGGGTTTCTCGCTATTTCTGTGTGTTTGTGTGGATTAGGAAGGTGCAGGTGGCAGGTTACTGCAGGGCAGCTGACGGGTGGTAGGTAGCTCAAGGTGCTGCTGCTCAGCTATCGAGGTGGCACGTCTGTGGCCTGAAGGACCCTCCCACCCACATTCCTCCACGAGCAGAGGGGTGAATCTGCTTCTTAGGTTGGCGTGGGGATGTTTGTTTCGCAGGAAGAGACTCAGCCTTCACAGGCATCTGTCTGAAGCCCCTCTGGAAAGCTGGCTGTGTGAGAACCGCCCTGAACAAAACCCACCCTCTCTTTAAGGGATATTCCCTTAATCCCTTTCTCAAGGGATGTTTTTTTGCACCCCTCCTTGCCATAGAGTTAATGAGCTTAAAAGCCCTTTAAGCACAGCCTCTACAGGTAGGCGAATGGCTGTGTCCCAGGCTGCCTGGATCCAGCCTGAGGAGGCAGAGCCTGGGAGAGCCTAGGAAGCCATCGGGGGCTTCGTCCTAGGCGTGTTCTGGTAGAAAAGCCTTGTTCTTGCCAAAAGAAGCAGAGCGGGGAGGTGTCTGCTCCTTTAAGCTGTAAATGCCAAGGCCGTGGGCTTGGCAGAGAGCTGGAGTTGTTGGCTTTGACCTCGAGGTGTTTTGCCTCAGATATATTTCGAGGAAAAGTGGTGCTGCATTGATGGGCTGGACTGTGCCTAGTCTGAACGGACAAACAGGCCGTCGTCTCCATCCCGAGCGGCTGCAGCGTGACTGAGCGTACGATGGCTGGTGTGGGAGGACGTGCCAGTCCGGGTCGGTATTCCCGCAGGGGTCTAAGGGAAGCGCTGTTGCTGGGACAGCCTGATGTGGGAGTTAGCAGTTTGTGCAGCATCACGTCGTCTCTGTCCTTTGCATGTCCAGGTTTGAAGCGGTGGCTGTCCTCACAGGGCCTGGCTCCTCGTGTCTGCGTGGTGGGCAGCGGACCTGCAGGGTTTTACACGGCTCAGCACATCCTCAAGGTACTGGGGCTTTGACTTGATGCACGGGAGGCTTTGGGTGCGGGCTGGGACCTTCCTGCTGTGGGATGAGGGAGGCATCCTGATGCTGCGTGGCTATAAGCGGCACCAGTTTGGGGAGTGGTTTTGTGTGCTCCTGTCCCTGCTCCAGCTAGGTCTGTGTTGCTGGGGAGGCTGCTTGGAACAACCCTGGCCCCTGCAGAGTTGTCTGGCCACTTCAGCTGTAGGGCCTGGGGGAGGTACCCTCCTTTCCCCTACCCTGCCCTGCTTCTGGGTCATCCAGGCCAGAACCTGACCTGGCTGCGTGGCTGTGAGTTAAGACTTGTTTTTCTGGAGTCAAATAAAACTGCAGAAGTCTGTGTTGCTTGGGCCTGTTGTTCCCTAGCGCAGGTGACATTACCTGCTTGTTAGAGGGAATGGGAGGAATTGCTTTCCTAACTCCTTCTCCAGTTGCACTAGGGCACATGGGTGATCCTCTGCCTAGTTACTGTACATGTTGGTGCTTTGGGTGATCAGAGCTCTGACTGAAAATGAGACTGGATCAAAGAACTGAGCTACTGGTGCTGACCAGAGATGCAGCAGCTTAAACCAGTTATTGAACTGTGCTGTATTGTCTCTGGAATGTGTTGGAAAATAGCTGTTACTAAGCCTCAGGGACAAATTTCAGGGCTACTTAATCTCTGGGATGAGGCTGACTCAAAATACAAGATAACAAAACCCTTGCAGCAAAACATCTGTCTAAAATCCCCACTGGCTCCAACCCTGAGGTGACTCAACTCAAGGGGACCTCAGGCTCTGGGCTGGAGAAACAGCTGCCGGGGGCTGGCAAACAGCCCGGTGGGTCCTCCCAGCACCGAGGGTGCTTCGTCTGGTACTTGACATCCAGCACAAGGGGCCTCCCATGACCCCGGGACCAGATGCAGCCAGCTGGGCAGACTGGCAATTTGCTGCTGGCTGTATCTAGCCCGGAGGGTAGTGTTGAAGAGGGTTAGTTTGGAAGAGGGGCCGTGGGACTGCTAAGAGGATAGAGCCCCCCACAAGGCATCCTTGGCAGCGGTTGGGATCACGTCTGTTCTGTCACACCTTGTGAAGCGATGGATCTGAAGTGGCAGAAGTGGGTACAGCATCATCTCATGCATCAAAGAGCTGTGAAGAGTCTGGAACAGGCTGTGTTTTGCCTTGCCTTCCCCTGTTTCTGGCTAGAGGCTCTTGGTGCTTCCTTCCCTCCTGCCCCGGCAGCAGGCGGGCGATGCTTGTCCCTCCGGAAAGCTGCTGGGCTTGTGTGGCCTTTCTGTCCTTGTTCCTTACCTGTGACTTCTTTCTTCTTTAGCACCATGACCTGGCGCGAGTGGACATTTACGAGAAGCTGCCTGTTCCCTTTGGGCTCGTCCGTTTTGGCGTGGCACCAGACCACCCCGAAGTGAAGGTTAGTGCTGGCTTCCTTCCCTCACCCATGGCATTTACCATAATGATGGCTGAAGGTGCAGGCCAGGCAGTCAGTGTCCTTCATGGTGCCTCACAGCTAGTTTTGGTCTGAGGCTATCACACAGGAGTGGTGCTACGATGTTCCAGTCTCCTCCTTGCTACCTGCTGAGACCCAGCAAGGCCGTGGCTTGGTGATATGGGACATCTGGCTTTAGGGCTCTGAACACCAGGTCAAAACACAGGGGCTGTGTGATGGGGAATGCTGCTCTGGGATAAACCTGCTGCACTGTTCAGACTGGTTTAGAACAAGAAACGCTGATGGGTTTTCTTTGTACCAGGAAACTTTAAGCTGACAGGATGTTGTCTGCTCTCCTGCTGTCCTGGCACCGGGACAGACTCTGCATCTTGTGCTGTGCCCTAGTCCGGCAGTGCAGTTGTCTGCCAGAGCTCAGTCCAGATCTGGTTTGGGAATATGCAGATCTGCTCTTAGGGGTGATGCAGCTGGGCTGTGTGTGCATGCCTGGGCAAGGAGAAGTTAAACCAAAGAGATATTGAAGTCAACTCGTTTTCCTTTGCATTGCAGTGGGCATGAGTTGTGCACAGCAGAAGCTGCTGTATCTGAGCTGGGGTGGTGGTGGTCGCAGTGGGAGGATACAGGAGACCCAGAAACGGCAATATTCTGTGACAATTTCCTCATATAATCTCCTGAGATAATCAGAGCAAAATGCCTGCATCCAGATCTGAAAGGCAAGGAGTAGTGGTGTGGACATATGGGAGATATGTGGCTTTTGGGCAATTTCCCGCAATATGATGATACCTGTCCTGTTACCAGACAGAGCATCATTGGACCTTCAGGGGAAGAAGTGGGGGTTTTGCTGAATAGCCTCATTTGCTCAGAAGAAAAGGTTTTGGATGCTGTCCTGCCTCATGTCTTCTCTTGATGAAGAGGGTTTCTAGGAAGGCTTGGCACAAGAGGCTGGTGGGGGATTCTGGCAGGCAGCAGCCTTGATGGAAAGGGTTGTTTGGCAGGGCTGTGTTGCAAGCTTCACCTTTGGGAAGGAATTTTCTCCCACAGCAGTGTTTGCCCGGAAGGGCTGAAAATATTAAAGCTTCCCATCCTCTCCAAGGGGGTGCAAAAAATGGATCCTCCTTTCCACAAGGGTGGGGAAAAGTGTGCCAAGTCACAGCTGTGTTTATCTCACAGTGAATTATCTGTGGCCACTGTTAGATAAGAGTCTCAGAATAACTGAGAGAGGGGGAGAAACAGTTTCAAGGCTGGGGAGGAAAGGGAATGGGGACTTCCTGTCACTAGCAGACCTTGGCTCCTGGCTGCGTTTGAATGTAACCTTCTGGTGCTTGTTTGATCTTGGCAGAATGTAATCAACACGTTCACGCACACGGCACGCTCGGACCGCTGTGCCTACTACGGGAATGTCGCAGTGGGCAGGGACGTCACGGTGGGAGAGCTGCGGCAGGCCTATCACGCCGTGGTACTGGTGGGTAGCGACGCCTCGCTGGGAGGTGTTGAAGCGGGGCTGCCCTGGTTTCGCAGAAGTTGAGGGCAAGATCTGTTGGGTTATTCCCCAACAGAATGAGGTGTTTCTGGGTGCCCTGTTACTGTGGTAAACTTGGCCTCTCCCCAGCTTTGGGACAGCTTTGCAGCCCTGAAGTGCTAGGAGACATATCCAAAGCCTCTCAGGGAGCACATATTAGCGCAAATGTGGGTCTATCAAATCCCGGAGTAAGGGGCAGTTGTTGAGGAACCTGTTCCCTGTGATGGCCGATATCTGCCTGACGTGAGTTTGTTGCCATCTCTTGAGTCCTGAATGCTGTCCTAGGCTTGTCATGTTCTGCCTAGGCTTTGGGAGGCTGGGTTTGGCACTGGGCTCAGTACCTGGAGCAGTGTCTGAGGGCATGGGTGAAGCCCCTGTGCTCAGGCTGTGTTTATACACTCAGTTGAGCATCCAGGCCATTGGGCAAGGATTGGCAGCTGTGGAGGGAGACATTTGTGCTGTGGGGTGAAACCCTGCACACAGTGACCCCTCTGACTGTGCCTGCTTTCTCCTCAGAGTTATGGTGCTGAAGATAACCGGATCCTGGGGATCCCAGGGGAAAATCTCTCTGGGGTTTATTCAGCTCGAGCGTTTGTGGGCTGGTACAACGGGCTGCCTGAGAACCGAGATGTGAGTACAGCAGTTTGTTTCCCTGCCTTCTCCTCCCGACCTGCATCCAGATGCAGATATCCAGCTCCAGATTAAGTCCTGCCTGAAAGGCCTGCAATTGGAAAAGATTAGCAGGCACCACGTTAAATCCTTCTTATATGATAGAAATGTGAACAATTTGCACATCAGTGAGAGCGGATTAGCTCGCTCTGTAGGTTGCCAGCACCTTTTGGCCAGGCCAGATGGGAACCCAGGGGGATGTTCTGCTTTGCCCGAAGAGGTTTTTTGGCTGGCCCTGCCAAGATAGCCGCTGCTCCCAGAGACGTCATCTCGGAGGGAGGGGGACAAGGGAATGGCAGGGGGTGCCCGTGTGCAGCTGTGCTGCTGTGTCCGTGCTGGGAGGAGGCCAGCGTGGAGTTACCCTGTCTGCCTCACCTCCATTTGGTGAAAAGGGAGGCAGAAGGGAATTTGGGTGGTGGGAGCATGTCCGAGGGCACAGACATCGTGGAAGGCTGGTGAATTCGCTCATGACTGGGCCTTTTTCTCCCCACAGCTGAAGCCTGACCTGAGCTGTGAGACAGCGCTGATTCTGGGCCATGGCAATGTGGCACTGGATGTTGCCCGGATTCTCCTGTCCCCGGTGGATCTCCTCAGGGTGAGTCACGGGGGGATATTCCAGGCTGTGAAGGCATAGTGTGGCCCAGATTTGCTCCCCGCCAGGTGGGTCCTGCTTTTCCCTGATCTCAGCAAAGTCTCTGAGAGAGCTACCTCTACTGAGCATGGACTTTCTGAACCTTCCTTGTCTTTGAGCTCCCTCACTAGGGAAAGACAATGCCCCCCAGTCTTTAGGGTATGAACTGAGGCTGTGTGTGGCCTGACCGGCCAGTGTTAACACTGCAGAGCGCTGTGAATCACTGGCTTCTAGGGTGCTGGTACCCAAACTGGGGTTCTGGTATCCCAAATGGGTTGCAACTGAGCTTTATCCCTTCCTTACCTGTGAGAAACAAAGGAGAAGAAGCCTCTTCTATCACCAGACTAAGAGCTTCTCCTGTTGGGATTTTTTTCTGCTGTAGCAGGGCAACTTTGTCAACCTCTTAGAGGTGTAAATGGTTAAACCCAGCTGGGGAGCAGTGCTGTGAAGGATGTAGTGCTGGAAATGAGTGTCAAAGCATGAGGGTAGTTTCCTGCTAAAGATTTTGGTCTGGGATGGTTTATCCTGGTTACCTGGTGTCCCTCCCATCCTATCTTGGCTGGGAAAGATCCTCAGACGATCTAGATACAGGCACACGATTGAAATGGAATGTGGGGTTGATGCAAGATATGAACCATCAGTCGAGTGCTGGTGATGCTTGTGTTTGTGCTTGGAGCTGTCTGGGGTGGACAGACAGTGATTTGAGCTGAGGTCTGTAGTGGGTTTCACCCGAGTGCATGTGTATCCTGAGACTGGAAGTCACCCAAGAGCCACTGCAGGCACCCCATAACCCAGGTCACTGGGGAAGTCTTTGCTCTTTTAGCCCCAAGGTTAAACCCGCCTGGGGAAGATCCCCTTGAGGCAATCTTGTGGGGTGTTGGCTTGTTTCCTCTTCCGTGTTATGGCTTCAGAAAGTACTTTCAGTGTTGATGGCGTAGCTGCGCAAATAGCTCTGCGCAAAGCAAGATGACTTGCTTTCCCCCCTACCCAGTCTCTCTGCATGTACAGCCTGCTTTTCTGCTGATTTTCTCCTTCAGAGGCTGCACCTTTCCCCAGCTTCCTTCAGATCTGCCCTGGTCCCACTCTCCTGTCGCGCGTCTGTGTCTTGCAGAAGACTGACATCACTGACAGCTCCTTGGCAGCTCTTGCCTGCAGCAAGGTGAAGCGCGTGTGGCTGGTCGGGAGGAGGGGACCTCTCCAAGTTGCTTTCACCATCAAGGTAAGGCTGGTGTTTGAGCTGGGGGTGCTGGAGGCAGCTATTCCTGACGTTGAACCCCAGGCTTCCCTTCTGCTGTGGGGAGAGGAGGTCTGTCAATGGGTGGGTGAACCTGGGTGTCCTAGTTCCTGTACCCATTTGCAGGCTCCTAGCCTGGACTGCCAGGGGAAGGGAGCCCGGTGCTGTTGGATGGGCTCTCTGTGCTGGAGGTAATGTCTTCCTGCCCATGATTCCCAGGAGCTGCGGGAGATGATAAACTTGCCTGGTACCAGACCTATCTTGGACCCTGCTGATTTCACAGGCCTTGGAAATGCTGTTAAAGGTGAGGGAAACATGCCGTGTTCCTCCGAACAGGGACTCACCTTGACAGACAGGCACCCAGGAGAGTTCTGGAGATGCTTGGAAAGTGCAGGATGAACCTGGAGACTTTCTTTCCTTCCCCACCCAGTCCCTGAAGAACAACAGACCCAGTGCATGACTTCCCTTTCCTCCATGAACTGAGGTTTTGATTCCTAAGTGCTTATTTCCTAGATCAGAGAGACTCTTGCCTTGTGTGGCCTTAATGTGTGACACATGAGAGCCAGCTATCCATGGTGTGGCTCGTCCTCAGGACGATAGGAGGGAGACCAGCAAGGCGAGAGGACAGCCCCTTTTTCCCTGTTTGTGCTCTGCCTTGCTGTTTGGGATTGTAATTGCTCTCTGAGTGATGAGGGCAGGAGACTGGGGAAGGATGGGGGAACCTATCAGGGGACATCCCAGGGCTGTTGATTTAAGAATGCTCTGCAGAGCTGAAAAGAGAAGGCTGAATTCAGGGGTGTCCGGAGACTTGCTCTCCTCCACGAGCTGCTGCCTCTGAGCACTAGTGAGACAGCAAAGTTGTAGGCTTTGATTTGTGTGTCCCACTGGCCTCAAGTCTCAGGAGCTCACCTGATCACTTTGACTTACTGTTTGTCATCTCAAAGGCATTGGACTGCCGCCTGTGTGACAAACTCTAGATGGACCCTCACATAGGAGTGAAAACTGTCTTGACATGGCCTCAGCTCCGCACTGTTCCCCATGGGACTTTTGCTGGGGTTCCTGTTCTGAAAAGTCTCTCTTTGCTCCTAGATGCTCCCAGGCCCAGGAAGCGGCTGACTGAGCTGATGATCAAAACAGCCTTGGAGAAACCAGGGGAGAAGATGGTGGCAGCAGCCCCCCGGGAGTGGGGCTTGAGGTTTCAGCGCAGCCCCCAGGAGGTGCTGGCCACCGCTGACGGGATGCGGGCGAGGGGCATCCGCATGGCCCTGACCCGGCTGCAGGTATGAGCTTGAGGGGGGGGACCCTTCTGCAGCGCTGGCCTGGCCCAAGCAGAGCTAGGGGATTGGGCAGGAAACTGTTGCATCCCTGCAGCCTTTGGGAGTCTCTGCACTGATCCAAAAGCAGGTTTATGTTGCGTGGGTGATTGGAAGGGCCGATTGCAGGCTCCTGGGGAAGCTGGTACCACCTGCAAGAGCCTTTCCCTTTCTAAAGGAAGCCCTTCTGCATTGCTGCTGCAGAAAGGCCTTTAATAAAGGCTGCCAAAGAGGACCAGAGGATGTGCTGCTCTACATCCAGTGGCTGTCTGGTGATCGGCAGCCTCTTCTTCCCTCTTTCAGGGCTTGGGTGACTCTGCCAAAGCCGTCCCCACTGGAGAGGTGGAGGAGCTTGAGTGTGGCCTGGTCCTCAGCAGCATTGGCTAACGCAGCCTGCCCCTGGATCCGGCTGTACCCTTTGACTCTCAGCACGGCGTTATCCCCAACAGCTCAGGCAGAGTGGAGGGTGTCCCAGGTTTGTATCCACAGGAGTGTGCGTGGGGTGGATGTCGAGCACAGCTGGCGGTTTGGGAGGTTTGAGGTAGAAAACCATGTTCACCAAGGACACAGATACAGGGCAGTCGTGTGTGTCAGGCAGTGGAAACTGAGGAACTGAGCTGCATCTGTCAGACTTCATAAGACCTGTCCCGTTCCCAGCTCACATCAGTGACTTCTGTTTTTGCAGCAGACAGCGCTGAAGGACATGGTTGTTTTACTAGGCCTTGAAGTCTGTAACTAAAACGATACAGCCCGAGCAGCTGTGTAATGCAGTCTGAAGTTACACAAATTCCTGTGTCAGCACTGTCAGAGGACCACGCTCTGCCCCATCACAGGGGTGGATTCTACCGCCCATGGCTTCATGTGACACCCAGGGTTAGGAGAGGGCAGGAGCCTGGAGCCAAGAGGGTTTGTGGCCCCATGTTGGGCTGAGCCTGGCTGTTCAATGTGCCCGTGCAGGTCTATACTGCAGCGGGTGGGTGAAGAGAGGACCCACAGGAGTCATTATCACCACCATGAATGACAGCTTTGACACTGCCCAGTCTGTGCTAGAGGATCTCCAGGCAGGCGTGCTGGATGTGTCTGCCTCCAGAGATGGCTTTGGGACCGTGGGGAGCATCCTACGCAGCCGAGGTCAGTGTGGGTGTGTGTGAGCCTCCATAGCAGCCAGCGTAAAGGTATGATGCAGCCAAACTCCTCGTGGATCTTGGTATCGTGGAGCAGCAAGTCCCATGCGCTGCTTTTGGGAGTGCAGTCTGAACCAAGAAGGTGTGTTGTGCAGCTGTGTCACCGCTCCAAAGCACAGGGAGCAATGGGACTTGAATTTGCTCAAAATCGGTGTCATTGCTAAGGTTAATGACCACTTTCTGGGAAAGGCTGTTAAAAGCAGCGCAAACCTTGGATAAAATGTCACTGTCAGCTGTGTAGACAGCAAGCTATTGCTCTTGAATAGTTTTCTTAGAAATCTTTCCAGGCAAATTTAGGG